AAAAAAAAAAAAAAAAAAAAAGCTTACAGAACTTGGGGTATTTACCCCCAAAGAGATGCCTCCTGTAGTCCCAGCACTTTTAGAGGCCAAGGTGGGGAGATGGCTTGAGCCCAGGAATTCAAGAAGAGGCTGGGCAATGTCGGGAGACCCCATCTCTACAAAATATTTAAAAATTAGCCAGGCATGGTGGTGTGCACCTGTGGTCCCAGCTACTTGGAGGCTGGGAGGACTGCTTGAGGCCAAGAGTCCTAGCTACTCAGGAAGCTAGGACTAGAAGATCTTTAGCCCAGGAGTTTGAGGTTACAATGATCTGTGATCACGTCACTTGCACTCCAACCTGGGCAACATAGCGAGACCCCATCTCTAAAAGAATGAAAGCGGTAAGTGTCATGAAATACTTGAAGACTACCATGTTAACAAGGAACTAGATTTATTTATTGTGGCGTCAGATAACAGAACTAAAGAGCTTCAGCACAACGTAAAAAATGTTTTAAAAGTAAAGCTTCAATAATGGAACAGGGTATCTGTGAAGTGGACACTTTCTCCTTAGAGCATTCAGAAGTTAAAAGACCAACCGTCAGTGATACCAGCTATGATATGTTTTCACATATCATGAATTTATTTGATCTCTCCTAAAAAAAAACCTCTTAGAGGAAGGCAACATGTCAAAATGAGTAAATGTCAGAGAAGCTTAAAAATTATTTTCTTTGACATATTTTTAAAGAGACAGAAGACTTTTTCATGAACTCCAAAACCATAGGACCATTTTCTGAGAAACCAACAACAAAAGAAATGAATGCTTTTTCCTTCTAAATGAATGCTGCATTTGTTTTTCTCAAAGAAACATCTGTACCTTAACTTTAGTACTTTTATCAAGGGATAAAGGACAATTACATACCAGTATGCCAACTAGTCTCAAGAAGACAGCTAGTTTTATTAGACATTTACATGGAGTTCTATCTGTTCCACCTAAAACTTCCTTGCAAGGAGAAGGCTCCTCCTTATCAGATGTGGATAGGAGGCTGCGGTAATACTAACTCCCTCCCACTGTAGCCTAGGAAAAACTCAGTCTTGACATGCACAAAACAATAACTTCTGAGAGCTTCAGAGCAGCTGTGTTCAGACAGAGCCAGCAACTTTACTCCAGGCAAAGAATTAGTCTAAGAGTTGGCTGAAAAAACAATTTTCATTTTAGGTTGGAAATGAGGAAAGGAAAGAGAACAAGATACAGTAAGTGGAGCTATTAACATTTTAAAACCGTGGTAAACAAACGTATTTAAAAATTACAACACTGAAACTACCATAGGGTGTAAACTTTGATCCACAAGTTGAAAGACGAGCGGTGTTATCACTCTAGCTCTCTGCTAGATGGTAACACTAGTGAGAAAAAATAATCTTGGGTTTAATAGTGCCCTAGTCAAAGCCAATCACCAAGTTTAGGACAGAAGACCAAAACAAGGCACTCTGCTTCTCTCACTGGGTATTTTTTTGTGCTGCTGCCAGGCAAACTGGAAATTTTCTGAATGTCCAATAGCAATGCTCTTACTGTGAAATACTAGAACCCAGCTCAGTAGTTAATGCTAAAGGGTCAGCAATGAATTGGTCTCAATGTGCTATAGGGGCAACTTCTTGGCCAGGGAGAAAAGTTTCAACTGATTGCAGAAAACCAAAGGTTAATACAACTACATACTCTGGTTTCTCTTCATATAATAGCTTTCCTGATATTTCGGACATTATTTCACTTCTCAAAAATAAAAGGAGAAGAGAAGGAATGTAAAAGCAAAATCTACGCAAGAGCAAAGAAGTTATTAATTGGCTATATTAGTCCAATTCGTTATTAAATGATACACAACTATCAAACAAAGGGCAAAGCCCTGACCCTTTTCTGTACAGAATTAAGAACTGGTAAGACTACTTAGTAGACCTGCCAAACTTTTCTTCAGCTTCTTTTCTTACAGACATGATACATTTCGCAAGAGCCTCCACTTACCTTACAACTTCCATGTGTAGGTACAAATTGTGTTTGATTTCCCCAGCCCTTGGCCTAAGACATTATGACATAGCTTTAGTTTCTGAGTCTGGACCCAAAGGAAAAAACTGAACATTTTTCACTTTCCTGAAATAACATGTCTATTTCATTTACACCATTTAAAAACATATTATATAAATTAACTAAAACGGCAACCACCCATTCGACAACTCTTTGAGAGTGACTGGGAAGCCACATTTAACAAAACAAACTTCATTTTAGCATTTCTGCTTAGAATGCCCATAAAGACTGATATCTCTAAAAGAATTACACTACTGCAAAATTTTTAAACACAGGACTCATGTGAGCTTGCTGAGAAAACTCTGCACACCCCCCACACACCTGTACTTAATATGACATGACCCTCAGAGATACTAAAACACCCTCTGTTAAGTAGAAAATAAACTTTTAAAGTTAGGAAAGTAGCAACGCGGGAATCTGGGTAGGAGGTGCCCTGGGTTGTAAACACCCTAGTCAGAGAACATAACAAGCAATTCAGAGCAACATATAAGTCCCTATGGGGCTCCAACTTGGACTGCTTTAAGTCCAAAGCCCACATCTCGGTGTTTCGGAAGAGTTTGGGAAATAGAAGAGAGGGAGAAGGAAAATCAGAGAAGCGATGAAAGTGTTCTATATTTCTCCTTCTCAACTCCCATCCCAGCATCTTGGAGGCTGGTCACCAGTCTGGGTGCCATAACCACGAGAAGCCCTAAATCAATATCCCAACCACCTGATACCTAGGCAAAAGACATGTGTATATCAGCCATCTCCTTCCCAAACACTTCTCTTATCAAGGCTCATATCCTTCCAGAAGCCATGCCTTATGGCGACTCAGCTCACCCATACTGTCCTCTTAAATTCATTCACTTAATTTTCTCCAAATCCATACTTTCTCTCTGATATCATGTCCCTGATGTTCTTTTTATTAATTCAAGCGAAATGCCACGACCCTCATTTCCTATAATCCACCCCTATCTATCTTTCCTGATAAACCCAACGGAGTGTTGTGTCACCAGATCAAGATCTTTGTTCTCATCTACTCATCCTACCTCCTGCCTATTACCCTTTTCCAATTCCAAGCTCCTAATCCCACTCTTTGGGAAGCCCTGGGTTTCTAACCTAGTTTAGTATCCCTCCTCTTTCTCCCATCCCACCCCATCCCATGATCCTTCCATTAGGCTCCACTAGACTACCCTTCCCTCAGGATTCAATTCCCCTCTCCTTGCCACGCCCTGCGCCCCCCGGGGCTACTTACCCCAAGTTCTCCCCACACTTCAAGACTCTGGCCCCGCCTTCCCCCCAAAGGAAGGAGGCGGGAGTAGGGAGAGAAGAGGGGCGGCACTCGGCAAGGAAAAAGCGATCTCCCATTAGCGCTCATCGCCGCCAATCGAGGCTTCCTTCTCTCCTATTGGTCGGCTTTGGCCTATGCCCCCACCCTCTTCCTCAGACAGGGCCCGGCCACCGCCTCAGCGCCCCCGTCCAATACAGACTGGGAGGGGAGACCCCAGCCCGGAACGCTGGGACTGGCCGGAGTTGAAAGGGAGAGTCCCGTCAGATCATGGGCTAGCTAATGTTAAAAGGACTTACCGGCTGGTAGCTCCGTTGCCTTCCGCCTGCCCGCGCTCGGTCCTACAATCTCTCTGCAGCTCCTCTTTTCCCCCCTCGGCGGAACGGATACTTTCCTCCCGTCCGGCCAGGCGCGCTCAACTCTCGCGAGAAGTCGTGGGGCCGCGGGGGAAGGGCGAGATCCGTAGGGGCTGAGTTGGAAAGCGGCCGAGAGGCGGGGCCCCGGGAAAAGAAGGTGTTGGGCTTGCTGTGGGCAGGGCTGGGGAGGGAGACTGAGCGAGTACTGTCCACACAAGTCACACGTGTTCGGCTGCAGAATCTAGCGGGAGAAAGAAAGGAAAAAGGAGAGAAGATCTTTACTGGTGCCTGTAGTGGTGGTTACCACTATCTTTCAGAGTCATCGCTTCCTTAACTGCAAAGTAAAATACCCTTAGCCCTAGAAATGAAGTCTATGTGTGGACAAAGCAATCCACCTGCCCAGCAATTCTAACACTACCATTTTACTAGTCCTATTGCCTTGGGTGAAAGTCTTCTCTTAGTCTCTGTACAATAGGACTAACAATCTCATTTTATTCAAATTGTTGTAATGATCAAATGAGGTACATGAAATTGCTTGAGGATTTTTTTAAAATCACTGTATTATTCAGCAAATATTTTCACAAAACGTAGGGCATACTACATACAAAGCATTGTTCTAAGCATGGGGTTAAAGAGTTATCAACCCAGGTAGGATTTATATTTGAGTGAGGAAGGGGAGACAATTAAAAAGCCAATAAACACAAATATTTCAAATAGTGAAAAGTGATTCAGAATAGTGAGACAGAAAGTTACTAGGAATGGGGAAGAAGCTTTACTCCTAGTATTTGAAAGAAGACCTCTTTGAGGAAGTAACACACCAGGAGTTGAATTATGACTTGGGAAGATTTCAGGGGAATTATCAAATGCAAAGTCTATATTCAAAAATGTATAGGTCTTGTTGAAGACAAACCAGGAAAAGAAAAAAGAAAAACAAAAAACAGGCTGGTTGCAGTGACTCACGCCTGTAATCCCAACATTGCTAAGCCAAGGCAAGAGGATTGCCTGAATCCAGGAATTTGAGACCAGCCTGGGCAACATGGCGAAAACTCAGCTCTACAAAAAATACAAAATTAGCCGGGCATGGTGGCCTGCACTTGTAGTAGCTATTCAGGGGACTAAGTGGGAAGATCACTTGAGCCCAGATCAGGCCACTGCACTCCAGCCTGGGCAACAGAGTGAGATCCTGTCTCAATAAATAAATAAATAAATAAAATAATCATCTTAAAATTTAACAAATTGTAGTTGACTTAAAATATTATCTACAGAATCTCTGTTCTCTCCTTTTGCAGCTTTATGTTACTTAGCTTTCTGAACTTTCTGTCTAGCATCTTATCTATCCTCACAGCACCCTCTGAGAGGTAGGAAGAATCTAGGTGATTTCTCCCTAGATATCTAAGGTGACACAGGTGTAGAATCACTTTCTTTCTTATGTAGTGAATTGAGAAAAGTTGAGAGGTGTCTTGGCTTCCAAACTACTCTCCCCTAAAACAATTCCTACTTAAAAGAATACAATGATGGAAACATACCTTAAATTTGTAAGAAAAAATTGTATGTTGGCCGAGGGCGGTGGCTCAAGCCTGTAATCCCAGCACTTTGGGAGGCCGAGATGGGCGGATCACGAGGTCAGGAGATTGAGACCATCCTGGCTAACATGG